GGAAAGCCCCCAGCTGACAGTCAGCAAGAAGCTGGGCCCTCTGTCCTACAACTGCCAGGAACGGAATTCTGTCAACCACCTAAGGGCTGATTCTTCCCAGCCCCCAGAGGAGCACACAGCCTTGTGAGACCCCGAGCACAGGACCCAGTTAAACTGCCTCCAGACTCCTGATGCGAAGAATTGAAACAATAACGTGTGTTGCGTTAATCCCCTCAGTTTGTGGTGGTTGTTATCCAGCAACAGAGAACTAACACAATGACCATCTCCCCCCAAGTTACCAAATATGACCAATGTCCACATGGAAGAAATCTACAGATTCATGAACCATTTCAAGAGTGGTCCTTTTTCTTTTAACCTGTATTATAGACTTGTTAGTAAATGAACCACTTTAAATTCCCCACAATTTCACATATTAAATTCAAACAGCATTTTCACTGAAAAAGCAGATCGGCTGCAGGTTCCTGCTCAAAACCTGATGGAAGACAAACCTCCGTGTTCATCTTAAATCAGTTAACGGTTCTTTTCCTTGGGACACCCTCCTGAGTGACCAATATGGGATGCAGACCTAAGTGCATATTGAACCCTAACCCTAAAAGGCAAAGGTCAGGGAAGGTGTTACACTTCCATACTCATACTCACACCCTAAAAAGCAGAACACAACTTTGGCTAAGGGCCTCTCCTTCTCTTTGCATGCTTCCCGGCTTGTCCTATGTTTTCATTCTTCCCTAACACATCCTGGACTTCTTGGAGGTCATGGAGATGAAGGGAGATGCTAGCCTGGCCCTAAACCCCAGGCTGGGTCTTCACCAACTCCAAACAGGTAGATCCATACCCCTTCCCGCTAGACTGAGGCCAGTGGGAGACATACTAATTTCATGGCTTATAGTTTGCCAGAGAGTGGGGACTACATCAGAAAAGATCCCATACAACTTCCAGTCTGATCTTTAAATTTGGGAGATCAATGAGACAGTGATGCTGGGACATGTCCTGAGGTTTTACCCTGTGCAGAGAATCACATGCCTTCCCTTGGGCCAGCCTAATTCAGTGGCTCATCCATCCACCCCTGTCTTCCATGTCTTGGAACAGAGGATGGTAGCTGAGTGCCAAGGATGCCTGGGGGTCCTGAGGCTGGGCCGCCCCATCAGGAACTGCAGAGGTCTCAGTGACAGCTCTTGGGAACAGCTGATGGCCATGCAGGGCGCCTTTGCCGTTAAGCTACTGGCAGAACCCAGGCGCTGTCGAGAGGACGACAACTAGTAGGGAAAAGGCTTGAATAGAAGCCAACGGAAGGTTTCTGGTTAGCTTCCCGCAGCTCTCACTGGCAGCCCAGGGCTCATCTCCCTCCTGCACCCCGCTGGAAGAGGGGGCTCATCCTCTCCCAGGTTAGTTCTCCCGGCTGGAGGCGGGAGGCAGAATTTTGAGTGTTATTTCTCCTGCTTGTGGACACACTGCCACCTCTTCTCACAGGCCCAGGGCTGGGCTGTGTTAGGAAGATGACCAAAAAGTAAATTCACTAAATAGGGCACCGGACCTTGTGGAGAAGCCTCTAAATGCCCCTGCACGGCCGGCCTCCCTGCCCTGTGTTCAGCGTTAATTATAAGTAGGGAGCCACCGCTGAACTTACCTTAAAGCCAATGAAGTCTGAACGCAAGGACGCGGGCTCCAGGCTCCTTGCAAAGCTAACTCTGTGTTTGTCCTTTTGTATTACTTTTTCCAAAGAGCGCGCTCCTCTGTATGTAAATTTCAGTTCCCCCAAACCGGGTCCCCCCTGGGAAGGGGCAAGCTGGCAGCGACCGGCCCGAGGCAGCAGGGCGCCCTAAGACGCCAGGGGTGCCCTAGTGGAGCAGGACCGGCCTCGCCGCGCAGCCAAGCCGGGTGACGCCGGGGCGGCTTCCCGCAGGCGGGCGGCCCGGGAGCGGCCGGTTGCGTGCAAAGCCCGGCGCCGCCCCGCCCGCCCCGCGCAGGTAAACGGCGGCCGGCTGCCCGGGAGGCCGCCCGCGAGCCTGGCCAGGACCCGCCCCGGCGCCACGCCAGGCGTCCCGGGAGGCCGGGACGGGAGGCTCCCCGGTGACTCGGCGCCGCGCCCCGGGAACGTGCGCCGGCACAGGCGTTCCAGCCTCACCTGGCCAGTCGGATGGCACCTGCGGGCCGAGCCGGCAGAGCTCAGGGCACGTAGCCAGCAGGGGAGGCGGATCCTAGAGCTGGGGTCCCCCCATCTGCTGCTTCCGCAAGATCCGGCGGCAAGGCCCAGGCCAGGGGTGCATAGGTAAAAATTGGTGGAGCTGTACACACTTATGATCGTGCCTTTGTTAGATGTAATCATGCCTTCATTTAAAAGGGGAAAAAAGAACAGCCCCCGGGCTCCCATTTGCTTCCATCTTTCACAGGTTCAACCAATTATTCGAGGGTGGCGTGTGCAGGAGGTGGTGCCAGCAAAGCTTTAGGGCCGGAGGGTCTGGGAGGTGAATTTCTGCACGCTTTGCGGATAACAGAGCCGACCCTGCCACTGCCTGTCGGCCACCTTAGCAAGACTTCCTGGACCTCACCTTCCTGGTGGGCAAAGTTGGGGTAATGATATAAAGGGCAAGGAAGTTTAAAGGAGGTGGCATGGCGCATAGCACCCCGCCTGGCTCTCAGTCTTCACCTAACTAATGGCCTATGGTCCACCCCTCTGCACAGCCTAATGGGAATGTTTTCTGTTTGGTCCCCAGATGAGATCCAGATGCCAATACCCACCCTCACCTCTCAAGTTCTCATACCAGTCACCTGAGATAAAGGGGCCATTAAGGGCACTACCTTGAGGGCGTAAGTTGTTTTGCCATCAGACAGTCAGGGATGTGAGGGCTGAGAGGCAGTCCTGTTAAGTAAGCAGTGCCAGCTGATGGGAGGGAAAAAAACATTGGCAAGCTGCAGCCCTGAAATTATAAACTCAAGGAAAAGACTGAAATCTAGGGATTTCTTTGACAGTTTTTACTGTCCAAAAAGCTGAGAAAAGTAGGGAAGCAAATGCAAAATCCGATCCAAGGTCTGGCTGAATTTCTATGCTGGTAAAATTATAGCCTTTCCGTAGAAAGCATTGGTCAGGAAGTGGTGAGACCCACAGAAATAAAACGGAGATAGATGGGAGGATATGAAAAGCTTGGCCTTCTCTGAATTCTTAGTCCTCAAAGAACCTTCTTTGTCTGCGGAAACAGCCAAAGGGGGCTGTTCCAGTCTTCTGAAACACTTCTTGAAGGAAATGTAGTTGCTTTGCCTAAAGCCATCACCCTGCGAGAGAAAACCAGTTCTCATGCACTGCCACCCTGGCATCTCCAGAAATGGCAGAGTTATGTCCAGCATGGCCCCCAAAGAGGGGTGATGGCCAACTCAAATAGGGAGAAAGAATTTGAAACCAGCATGATTTCAAGATTTTTCTAAATTTTGACAAACATGAGAAAAATATATTTATGAATCCATTTTTATGGTGCACAATGGAGGGAAGAACATCATTTTAAACTAGTCTTAATTTATTGACTTACAATTGTTACAGAGATTCTGGCTTTACTGTGCCAGCACAGGAAGTCGGGAGTGACTTCCGGGCCTCAGTAAAGGCTGACCACTGGACACCAGGTGAGTGTTATCTGTGCCCCCAGCTGTCCATCATGTCCTGGGTCACACTTATCAAATCCCATTACCAGCTGGAAATGGCTTCTGTGGGACTGAGCCCTGACTCCAGATACTGATGATATTTCCAGGACACTTGTAGACTACTTAATGCCTTTCTAGTATGGAAAAGGCAAAGATTTCTGCTCATTGAAGCAGGCTCATATGTGTGGGTCTGAATCACCTCCCGTCTGTCCTATCATGGAATCCTGTGCAACATTGCTTCCAGCAAGGCAATGGATGGATACCCTTGCAATTTGCTCCTATCACCCAGTAGCAGTCCTCTGTTTGGAACTGTGACACGAATTATTGGAGACATGGTTTCAAGACTAGCTCTGGGACAATATTTAATCAGGTTGAGATATTGTGCTTTAAGGGAGGTTTTTTTGTTCAGAACCAGTGATCGCTATGCGGCACTATTTCTCTCATAGCCAGACCTGGAATAAGAGAAGGTCTGGAATAAGTGGGGGTACAGATGGTGCCACCTCCATTGTACCTAATGATTCTCACTCTCATCAACTTGGGCACCATCAGTTTAGAATTTTTGAACCCAAGAAAGGAATTACCCACCAACGGGACAGCTGACCATTGGAGTAATTTCCCTTTTGGAAAGGGGAAGGGTGAAGTTTCAACTGCATGAGGGATAGCTCCATTTATCTGAGCAGAACAGTTTTTTTTAAAGAGAAAATAGAGAAGTTATCTGTAGATGTTTAGATGCTGAGCAGCAAAAGCATAAGGCTGTGATCAACGTAATAAACCTATTTTTCTGCTTTTGGCTCTCCACCATCTGAACTCATTCCAAAGCTTGAAAATCCATTATTGTCCGAGACTTGGTATGAGGGCAGGAGCAGCTGGTTGGGGGACCCAGGACCTACGCTCTGCCAGCTAGCTGTTTCTGCCCAGAACTCTGAATGTGGAGCTGGCACCCAAAGAGTCAGGGTGAGGTTAGAGGTCATTCCCGCGGCGGTGGTGGAAGCTTCAAGGGACAGCGGTTGAGTGGTTGCTGTTCAGTATCCAGGGGCCAACACAGGGGGCCAGGGCATCCGAACTGAGATGTTTTTGAGATGTGATTGGGTCATGGTCCCAGACCTCTAGTTTTCTTGCATCCACCCGATTTTCAAGCCTATTTCTCCTACAGATCCTGTGAGCTCCCGATAGCCTTCCACTGAATTCCCTAAGTAAGCTGAAGGTGGATGCTGTTTGCAACCACGAATCTAACCAGCCTGTCTCATCTGAGCTCCTTCCTTTACTTCTACTGGTGTGTTAGGTAGGGGAGATGTTAGCACTGGCTTCTGTTAGCTCTTATATTATCAACCCAGAACAGCAGGAGCTTCAAGAAGGACTGAGCACAGCACAGGTCATCCACAACAATATCCCCTTTATTGATACTAATCACAGTTATGAGGTCTTGTCCATCAGAAAGTTTGCATTATGCAGCATTACATACAAAGACATGAGAATACACATACACCGACCACCAAACCAATTAATTTCAACCCATCAGACCTCTGAATGTGTCTTCACCTCTGATCACCAGTGCTTCGGAAGATCATAACATAGACCCAGCAGAAGGTTGGCCTTTGGGTCTTACAGCATTCACAGAGCAGGGTATTTACCCTTGGAAGCAATGAAACATGTAAACTCAGAGGGCAGGCATTGAAGCCCGGCTCTTGGACTGCCTGCCTTGCTGGCAGAGCCCGTGTCAGTTCCCATAGGCAACTCTGACTGATGAGGATGGCAGGCCTTAGTTATGTTCAAAACAGACCAGTTCTACCTCCCCAGTTGGAGGAGCTATGTCTACAAAGGAGTAGATTGGGATTGGCTTCTAGTGTAGTTCAAGTCCTCCTTTAGGGTCATTTCAGAATGATGACTTGGCTAAAATTACTTTCCGAGGACAATGTAAAAATCTCTCTTCTCCTACCCCTTCTTCCCTTCTCACGCTAGGGTCTCTGGTCAAACTCCAGCAAAGCCTGCTGCAGCTTAAAAGTTCTGGGTCAAGTTACAAGTTACTAAATGGTCAACAAAGAAGGACCCACGGCAGACTCCAAACGCCCTCCGCTCACTTACATCAGCTTTAGTGGCCCCCTCCATAAGCAGATGAAGGGTTTGAGTTCTGGCAGTTGGCTGGTATCCCCAAGTCTCTTAGAAAAATGAAGGTCACCAACCTTACCAAAATAAAGGTCTAGAGGATTGGGAAACTGTGACAGACCACTTTGCCCTTAGAATCCACAGACAGCGGGGGTCTCTGATCAAAGCTACACTCTGTCCTCTTCTCACAGGTCTCACTGTGTGTTCAAACTTGTCTGAATTCCCTTAACCTCAATGGTGTCCATCTTTGCCTCACAAAAAGGGGGAAGACTAACTGGTCCCCATCCCTTTGTCGGAGCCCCTTCCCATACGGCCTCTTCCTCAGGGGAGGGAGAGGACGGTCCGTTTCCTCCCTGGGATGGCTGGGATCTGGGGACAGGTTGCTGTGTCCATGACGCTCCACTAAGGGACAGACGAGAGGTGTCCTGGCCATTCTGCTCTGAGTCACCAGGCAAAAACTGCCTAGGAGACTGCTCTCTCGAGAGCTTGCCCCTGCGGTGACCTTGGAAGTCGCCATTGTATCTAGCGAGGAAGATTGAAGGCGTGAAAGCAGAGATTTCCCAGATCTGTACGTCCGTGGCAATCCCACTGAAGAACGGGTCTGTTCAGGAGCCAAACAGAAATCTGTGGTTCATGACACCTTGAGATTCCAAATAAAACCAACATCTCCCTCAGAAGAAAAGTAAAAATTGTCATGTTCTAATCAGCATCAATCAGGATAATGAGATGAAAAGGAAAAAAAAAAGGAAAAATGTTTTAAGGTAAAGAGCGAGGCTTGTGGTCCCGTCGAAGCCTGCCATTGCTGTTTCTTTGTGCTCCCTTTCCTGGGATCCGAAGCATTTCGGCGCTAGCCCAGGCCTACATCGAGGGACATCATGACCACAAATCCCAGGATGGAGGTCCAGGATGCCAGCTTCCCGTTACCACTGGTGGGGTGGGGTGGGGGGAGAAAAGCAAGACCTTAGCGCAGTCTGGGACACTGTCTATGCTGCAAGTATCCTCAGCAATACACATTTCCAATAGAAACGATACTAGTGCTATTAATAACGATACTAATATTGCTATGCCAGGAAAACTCATTAACTCGTGGAATCCCAAAGGATAACCACACGAGACCCGTACTCAGATCAGTTATTCCCATTTTACTGGTGGGGAGACTGAGGCATAGAGGAGTCAGTATCTTGCCCAAGGGCACCTGTAATAGCTCTGGAAGCCATGCTTGAATAATAGCGTGGCAATTAAATTCCTGAAGATACTATTTAGTCTGACGTTATAATCTAGTCTCAAAATCATTCTGCCATTAAAACCAAAGTGAAACAAAGAGGAAGCCCCCCACCCCCAGTATCTGGCCTATAGCTGGACAATGAGAACATAGATGTCCCCTCTCCCCTCATTCCAGCCCCCCAAAAGCTGAGAGATGGAGTGGTGGGGGTATACAAAAATAATGATCTGTTCATCAGAGGGCGGGGGAGGTGGTGGGCATGTCCCACTGCCTAAAATCGCCTGGTCTGTCTCTCTGCCCACCTGCCCATCCCTCCTTTCTCTTTTTAGTTTCAGGAAGCACAGCTGAAGAGGGGCTGGGGGAGACCCCGGGAAGGGGTAGGGTGCAGTGGACGTAAAGAGAGGAATGGCAAATGAAGGAGGGCAGCTCTGGAGCTTGGGGTCTGGGCCGGGCCAGGGGCAGGCGAGGGAAGAAGGCAAGCGCCCTGACCTGATCTGAGCTTCAGGGATGATGTCGTCCACCACCACATAGACCATGGCGCCAGCTGCAAAGGCCAAGGCGTAGGGCAGGATGGGCTCCACCAGCACCACGGCAAAGGCACCAAAGACCCCAGCTAGAGGCTCCACCATGCCGCTCAGCTGCCCGTACCTACGGAGAGAACAGAGACACGTGCCCCCGTGGGGAGGCCAAGCAGACACACAGCATGTGCGGACTGTTGACCCAACTCTAGAAAACAGACACATTCTATGGCACATCGCGTCTGAGCACGGCAGTGTAAAAGCGCTTCGTTGTTTTTTCAACCACCTTGTGTGCTTCCCCAGCTCCCTGTTACGCAGCTACAGTAGACGCCCCCCTCTCAGGTTCCTTTGGGAGTTTTAAAGTTTTCTACTTTCTTTTCAAAATAATAACATTATTGACATATGAGTCACATTCCATACGGCACACCCATTTCACATATATTGTTCGGTGGTTTTTGGTATATTCACCAGGTTGTGCAACCATCACCACTATCTAATTCCAGATCATTTTTGTCACCCCAAAAAAAGAAACTCCATAGTCATTAGCAGCCACTCCCCATTCCTCCCTCCCTCCAGCCCCTGGTAACCACTAATCTACTTTTTGTCTCTATGGATTCACCTATTCTGGTATTTCATACAAAAGGAATCGTGCAGTATGTGCTACTTTTGCTGGCTTATTTCATTCAGCATAATGTTTTCAAGGTGCATCCACATTGTAACACTTATTGGTACTTCATTCCTTTACGACTGAATAGTACCTTGTGGACACTCCATGTTATATATCCATTCATCCGTAGATGCCTGCCATGTCTTTTGAACACCAGAACAGATTAGGAGTATTACGGACATTTCCCAAGAGCAGTTGTACCTGGTATGTCTGGGGGCTCAGGCGACAACTGCACCCCTTCTGAAGGAGCTACGACCATCCACCTCTGCAGAGAAGTGTGTGTACCAAAGGGCCTGGATCCATCACATGTGTATGCACCTGGCCACATGTATATCAAGGACCTGTCCCCACTATGCCCCTCTTGGATTAAGGTGAGATTTCTCCTTTGAAAAAAATCCCTTTATTTGAGCTGGTGAGAATGGGTCTCTGTGGCTTGAAATCACAAGAGCTCTTATTAAAACAGGAGCCCACATGTGCACAGAGAAGTCAGAGCAGGAGATGATCTGGTACCTGAACCCACAGCTGAGCCCCACGGGCAAGATACACCTGCTACCAGTTGAATGCCCGAAGACAAGGAACTGGGAACATCGCTCCCACTGTCCCTTGCTGTGGGCATTTGGCAAGATACACTGCCTCAGAGCCTCGATCCCTCCATCTGTAAAACAGGGGTGAGAGACACTTCCGCGCCCAGCCTCCCCAGATTACAGGACAGGACTGTGAAGTCCACCCACTCCCTGCTTCTCCCTGGCCAGGAGCAGACGGTTGGCACAGGAGACACTGTCGGTGCTGGAAAATCCTCTAAGGGGCCACTGCCTCCTGACACCCATGCTTGTGTGCAAGGACCAGCAGGCTCTGTGGCTGTGTAGTGGGTACAATTCATGGCCTTGACTTTGTCACCTCAGGAAAACCTGAGTTTGATGTCAAGTCCAGACTAGAGCAAGAAGACAGAAAAGTTTGATCTCAGGGTCTGGACTTGGCCCACAAAGGCCCCATTCCCTCCCTTCCTTTCCCATGGTGCCTCTGCTGTAAGAAATGCCTGCCGGCTTTCAGGGTCATGGAACTCACATTTAAAAACCTCTAAGGCAGTCCTGCCCCTGCCCTCATCCAAATCCTCTATTCTGTAGACTCCAACAATGGAGAAAGAGATAATAGAGGGTAGAAATGAAATAATTTAAGTATGTGCAAGAACTTGTAAGTCATAAGGCCCTATAAAACGGGAGGCATTTTAAAACTGTTATTAGCAGTCCTTTAAGAGCTCTCAGCATACATTCTAGAGTAGAGATTTTTTAACAAGAGGTATTCCAAGACTCAGAGCCCTGAGTTGAGGGGCAGAAGATTAGACCTCTAGTCTTGGAGTCACCACTGAATGGCCCAGGCCACGGTCCTCTCCTCGGAAAACTGGGGACTCACCTTACACATTACTGAAAAGCAAAATTATGGAATAGATTTAGAAAGACCGGCACTGTCTCCCCAGACCCTGTTGACATAATCCTGGTCTTCGCACTGACAAGGGTATGCTCGGAGCTAATGCAATGACTCCTGGGGAAAGACTGTGGAAACACGAGGCTCCTCCCAGCCTTGGGGGGTGCAGGATTCAACCACATTGTTGGCACTTTGCCAGAAGCTCCAGATTTGCCTCCAGGTCAGAAGAGGTTGTTCTGAAAGAAGCAGCCCATACGGAGGGCTGCTCTGAGCCTCATATCAGACACAACTCTGGCCTCTGATGGCCAGTGCTCTGAAGCACTTACCAGAAGGCTCTCCAGGTGGAGAAGCCGGCTCCTCGTAAAGGGAGGCTGACGGCGAGGCCCTCCGGGAAATTCTGGATCCCAATTCCGATGGCTAAGTTCCTGAAAGACCAATAAGGCACATGCAGGTGGCCATCAGGACCAAGCAGCCCCACACAGAGGAGCCCCGGCCTAGGCCCAGCTCCCCCCTTTGGTGCAGGGATCCAGGTGAGACCTGGGACAGGTGGAGGAAGGAGAAAGGGAGGGCATGTGTGTGGGTAGAGAGCACAGGGGAGGGGGCAGTGACACAGACCTTCCACTCCTGCATGCTATCCTTGTCCCTGGGGACCCTCCATCTTTCTGGTGCTACCATGCAGCAGAGAATGTGCTGGCTGGGTGTTCATGACTTGTGTCCTGACACTTAGCTATGTGCACAATCGCTTCACTTTGTCTGCCTCAGATCCTTATGTATGACACAGGTGGGGACAGCAAGGGGACGAGGACACCTACCATGAAGGATTCCGTGTGAGCCGACAACGAATGCCTACAGAGTTCTGAGCACACATGAGGTGCTCAGTACATGTGGGTTTCCATTCTCGTACGGTATGGAGATGGATATATTGGATTTTGTCATGAAGCGACTTCAGAAATGGGACAAGGAAGTACTAACGCAGAATCCAACTTGGCTTCCCTGCAGATTCTGCGCGGGTCTGGCACGGACACTGCGCTCCTTTGGGCCCCTATCATCCTCTCTCTTCCTGCTCTGGGGGACACTGTGGGGCTGGGCTGTGTGAATCGGTCAGCTGGTCAGAGCCAAGCCTTGAAAGCCTGCTTCACACACAGACCAGGTGTTGATAGAGAGCAGAGGGAGGGAGAAACAGCAGGAGCCAGGAGGAAATGCAGGACGTGACGCCAGGGGACCAGGCATGCACGTGAATTAAGAACCTTCATTATACACACTGCAAATTATTGCAAGCCAGCTGAATGTCAACCTGCAAAGGAAGCAAAGGCAAGAGAGACAGGGCTGGTCTGAACAATGGGAGACAGTTTCAGAGTGTCTCCCAGACGAGACTACCTTGGCGGGACAGGTCCATGGGGCAGCCCCTCCATGGAGGGCCCATCTCATCACCAAAGACCGCCAGGGTGTGAGAAGAGGATGTCACTGGGCAGGCAATGCTGGGCATGCATGTGGCCAGACAGACAGAAAAGGGAAACTCCACCGTCACTTGGCTTTCCAGGCAATTTGCTCACCATTTGTCCACCTTGCTGCCAACAGGAATTCACCCATCAGCTCTAGACAGCCACCAGGGGGTTCTTTACTAAAGGAAATATTCTGTTGCTTAAGGCTGACAGGGTCATAGACCTCCCCAAGCCCCAGAAAAAGCAGTTCATAAGCTGAAGTGGATGGATAAGAAGACACCCGGCCCACCCAGCCCGGGCTTGTCTGCAGAGGCCCGTGGCCACATAACTCCATGTCTGCTGACCTCTCCTGTGAGTCTGCCCAGATCCCTGACTCAGTTATCCAAGGCAGCACTCTCCTTTCACCTCTTGGAGAGGGAGGGGCTCAGACACACTCTGACACCATCTCAAGGTCTAGGGGGCAGTGAACATTTTGTGAACAGGGCCAGAGAGCAAATATATTAGGCTTTGAGGACAACGGGGTCTCTTTTGGAACCATTCCACTCTGCCCATTGTTGTGAGAGAGCATCTAATATGTGAACAAATGAGCATGGCTGTGTTCCAATAAAACTTTATTTACATACACAGGTGGCAGGCCAGATTGGGCCTATGGGCGGAGTTGGCAGGCCTCTGCCCTCACATCTCAGCGGGTGGAGAAAGGTCCAACATAACAGAACCGAAGCCCCTGGGCCCCGAGTCCCCCATCCTTCCTCAGGGCTCACCACCATACATACAGCAGCTCAAGTTCTGGCTCTGCGGTCAGACTTCTTATGTTCAAATCCTGGGTCCGTGACTTACTGGCTGTGCTGCCCTCCACTTCACCAGCTGTAAAGTTCGAAGAAAACCTCCCCTCCCCCTCCCAGCGTCGCCAGGATGATAACCCAGGATAGTCCCCCTAAAGCCCTGGACACACAGGAGCTGCTATTCAGCAAGAACGTCATCAGCGTCTGGGGTGGGGTGGGGCTGGGCGTGATCACTGGGGTTTCAGTGTGAGCTGATGACAGAAGGCGCCACGGAGAGCGGACTGTAGGACAGTCTGTGTCAACGAGACTGACTTGGCTTCAAGAAGCGGAGCAGGGGCACAGCCTTTCCAGCCGCAGGGCCCTTCCAGCAATTCACAGATCCTCTCTGCAAGACGGGCCCAGAATACTTTCCACCCGGAATCAAAACTCACTCCTTTACAAAGCCCTGCTTCAAACAGATCTGGCTCGGAGGTTTGACTTCCACTCATGTGCATTTGAAGCCCCAGCAGCAAGCACCCTTCTGCTCTTGCTGAACGCCAAGTGTGCCACCTCGGAGAAGAAGCGGGTGAAGGGCCCTCTGATGTGCTCCCTGTGCCGGCGGCTCAGCTCGGAGGCCGGAGCTCTCACTTCTGCTTCCTCTGGTCACCTCCACGCTCCATTCCTGCTGAGCTTCGCGAACTGGCTGGGCTCTGGATCCTCCCCTGGGCACACAGGGCACGAGAGTGGCAAGCTGGGTGCATGGGGCACCTGGATGAGCTTGGACTTGACTGTTCTGCTGCTGAGCAGTAAGCCGTGGGGTCACTGCTGGGTAACCCTTAAGGATTTTCCCAGGCAGCTGGGTCTCAGAAGTACCTCCATAGGTGAGAGCTGGGGGGTAACCTTGCTCTGCACCTCCTCCAGGGAAGCCCAGATCTGTCCCAGTTTGAGCGAAGAGAATGAGATGAAGTGACATTAGGGTACAAAAAGAAACCTGGCTGGTGATTCTTTAGGAAAAAGCTGTTGTTCTGTTCCTTTGCTTTCTAAGTGTGTGTGCGTGTGTGTGTGTTGTGTGTGTGTCTGTGTGTGTAGCAATGGGCTCTGCTGGGCTGGCTTTTCCTTCCTCCTCTTCTGAGCTCCTAACCATCATTCTCCAGCCAGTCCACAGGGCAGGGGTTCCCTTTCTGGCCTCAAAAGGCCGGAGGACAAACTCCTGTTCTGGTCAGGGACACCGACGAAAGCCACCCTCAGGGACTAGGTTCAGAATCACGGTTCAGAGTCTCGCTTCTCATCCCCTGGGTCCCAGGTAGAGGAATCCAGACCCACGTCGGGATCACCCTGTGGAGCCCTGCTCAAGTCATGGCGCCCTGACAAGCATGCTCCCACCAGCCCCAGGCAGAAATGCCGCTTCTTCTAGAGGCGTCTGCCATCACACTCACAGCCCACATGACCCTGAGCTCCTATTCAAGGTGCAGGGGGGCATTTGAAATACATTTCTGTTGAAGTAATGATCCATAAGGGTTTGTCTGCCAGTCTCATCTTGCCAATATTTCTTTAGCCTCAGCCCCCCCTTCTCGGACAGACCCTCCAAGTGGTGATCCTTTTCCTTCAAGAGGGGGGTGCTCAGCATCCCCTCTTCACCCCCAAATGGATGAGGATACAAGTAGCTTTCTTGACTTTTTGCAAGGCCCTGAATCCAAGGTCTCCTTCAATGTGGAAGGTCGGGTGTCCCACCAGTTCCTGTGTCCCTTGTCTGAAATGGAAACAGTACTTTGGGGCCGGCTTGCTGTCCACTGCCATCACCTGTCCCTGTGTTCACAGGCAGGCACACGACTTACCCCAGCCTAACCACCAGTTGCCAGCCCAGTGCCACCAGCAAATCAGAGGTGGGGCTCCTCGTCCAAAGTCCTCACCACGCCACAGTGCTAACCGCAGCCATCTGCCAGGTGGGCTGTGGAAGCCTCCGCCACATCCCGTCTGGGCGCCACCATCCTGATAAGCAGCACAGAAACCCTATTCTTCTGTCTCTGGCAAGCCATGTTACCTCTGCCCTCCCCGGCTCTGGCGTGGGGCTTCCAGCCCAACCAGGTGCCACACCCTCAGGATCCTGCCAGGCCGTTCTTAGCAAGGCACTGCCTCTCTGGGCAATCATGGAACCTGTCCTGAGTGCCCTTGGGCTCCTCTGCCCCACGGCAGGGCTGGACCACAGCTTTCCTGCCCTTCTACTTTCATATAAGTCCCTTCGTAACTTGGCTCTGCTCTCCATGCACGTGCACACGCATGCACACACGCACATGCACACTAGCCTACCATGTTCCCCTGCCTGGCTCACTATGCTGTGCCTCTGTTCCATGTCAACTAGGTAGGGGCGACCCAATGGAAGGGCTCAGCGCCCCCCATGCCCTCTGTTGCACACTGTTGCTTGCACCAGCTCAGGATGGGAACCAAACACAGGGCTCTCAGCCCTAGCTATGCCAGGGAGCTCCAGCAAATGCAATGCCTGGGCCTTACCCTCAGGGATGAGTAATTGGCTTCGGGGCCTGGGGTCTGCAGAGTTTAAGAACGTGCTGAAGGTCCTGAGAACCACTGACCTAAGATGTTATCATAGGGGATGAAGATGAAGACAGTGCCTCTACGTCCATATGCCTCCCAGAGCCCGCCCCAGCTGTCTGACACCCAGCAAGGAGCACCACGGGGTGGCCCTGGCTGGGGACCAAGGACACCAGTGGCCACATGTGACCGTGGCAGGCTATCTGCAGAGTGGGTGCTTTCTTGCACATAACCTGAACTGGAGAGCTCTGGAGGGGATCCAGGGAAACAAACAGCAGGAGCATCAAAGTGGAGGGTCACTGGGGTGACAGGACGAGCAACCCACATGATGGGGCTCACGTCTAGGGAGAAGGAGCAAAAAAGGACCTGGGTTCAGGCTGGCAGGGCTGGCTCCTTGCAGCGTGAGCTCACGGCTGCCTTTGGAGCAGTGGGGGTCCAGGTGGACGGCCGGGATGGGACACCGTGAATGAGGGAGCCTGCCGGGGAGCCTGGGCACGGAGGGAGCGCTGCCGCCCTCCTTGCCTCCTGCCGCCCTGCTGAGCGCATCCCACGTGGGGCCTGGCAGGCTCTTTATGCCATCGGTGACCTAGGGGAGGGAAAGCCCAAGTGAGAGGTTTCCTCTCCAGGATGGACCGTGAAGATTTCAAGCAGGACTTTAAGCAAGGGAGAAGCCCA